TCCCAACCCTATACAGTCTAATCTGAGCAGTCCTGTATTAACTCCTGTATACAAAGAGAAGGGCACCTCCTCCCAGCTCTCGCCTTCTCCCTGCTGCTAGCTGTACTAAAGTTTGCAAACCAGAAAGCTGTGCAGGCTGCCTGACATGTTCCTAGCAGCTGCTAAAAAACAGCAAAAGGGAGGAGGAAAGGGCAGGGAGGAGATATACAGAGAGGAGGGTGGGAGCACAGCCCTTACCTTTTCCCAGCTCTCTCCTCATCTGGGAGCTGAGAGACGACAAGTTACTGGAGTTTTGGGAGAGGAATGTTGTCACATTCTTGCCTTCGCATATGCTGCTCTAAAACCTGGATATACTGTATATTTCAAATAAGTTTCAGTGTGAGGCTCAGAAAAGAAACCACTAAAATCATAAGAAAAGTAACATTTTCTGCCGGCTGTAACACCACACCACAAACTGCAACACATTTCATCACCACTTAAGAAAGTCAAGTTTTGCACTGAAACATATTTGATCACTTCTGGGATTCTACTTAGGACGTACCTTTGGTTATGTTGTTGAACTCCACTCTGGATATATTCAAGAATTACAAATGGATAAATGCCCTCTTTATTTTCCATGTGCTGCCAAGGAAATGCATATCAATATCAACATTTGTTCTGTGGTAGCCATATTTAATGATATGACAGTAATGAATCTGATTACAAGGTAGTGAGATAGTATGTCTGATTTCTACATATTGGATATTACAGTATACTACCATAATAGTCATTCCCTATACCACTTGTGAACACACTGAGAATTTCTGTTGCTGGGTTGACCAATGTTGGATTTTTATTACCTGTATACCGAATTTTGAATTGACTTGTAGGTCATTCCCTTCATCACGTCTGAATACAATATACTGAAAATCTGTGACACTGGGGTGACAACCTTACAATGTACCCACATCTTGAAGTGTTTATATCCTGAAAACTTGTGTCTGGGGTATTGACCAGTGAATGGCCTTTGGGGAGGGCCTTACATTCAAAAGCCTGGATCGCTATATGGTTTCAATATCTTTTAAATTATAAAGACTATTCCCTAGCTAGTGCAATCCCTACAGATGCTGCACAGTCTATTATAGTCATGTGGAAAAAGTACACCCTGTGACAAACATGGTGTCAGATCACTGCTTTTTTCAACAACTTGTGACAAATGAGTGGTCAACCTCACACTGCACTGTCACTAATACGCAACAATGGCACTCTCAGCCTCGCCCTGCTCAAAGATTTTCGCTCTTGTGGGACCTCAATCTAAGTGCCAACAGACTGAAAGCAATTGTCACTGCTTTAAGTTAACTAAGCAATTTACTCTTTATACCCCAAACTGCCACCAGATAGCTTTGGGCCTATCAACCCTTCACAATAATAGCAATGACAATTATGAAAATTAAAAATTTATTTTAGAATAAACATCTGTAACACACACTGTCCTCACAGACAGGTATATTCAGAGATTTACACTACAGTAGCACTCTTCAAGAGACAGGGTTTCTTCAAGATTGTGTAAGGTTTGCGTAAAAGTTTGAGAGAGGGTAAAATATTTCCAAAAAAAGAGTATTGCAAAGAAACAAAGTGACACAATGCAACAGAAAATTAAAAAGTAGTTGAGGTTGAGAATAGTTAATACCCTTTGAAAACCTACATGTTTTAGTCTTCTAACGCATGTATTATTCTCCAGCACTGAATTACCTTTAGAATCAATATAGATATGATAGGTTTTGCATGCTCAGTTCGCCTACAAGAGGAGTTGGGCCGGTTCTGATCCCGGTACTCTTAGGGTAGAGGTGTTTGGGCTCAAAACGTTACTAAATGATGGAAGTAAATATGTCCTTATTCTTACTCTACTGCTATTATTTCAAGTTATGAAATACACTTAGGATATGGGATTATGGATTCTACCAGGGGAGAGAGACATTGCTAATCCAGCTAAGGTATTTGCGACTGTTAAATTACTGATGTGCCTGAGACCAGACCAGGTATCTGTACAAATCTTGTAACAGGGCAGCACAGTGGCTAAATGGTTAGCACTTCTACCTGGCAGTACTAGGGACACTGGTTCGAATCCCAACTACGGCACCACCTGCCTGGAGTTTGCATGTTCTCCCTGTGCCTGCATGGGTTTCCTCCGGGTGCTCTGGTTTCCTCCCACACTCCAAAGACATGCTGGTAGGTTAATTGGCTCATGTCTGAATTGGCCCTAGTATGTGTATGTATGAATGTGAGTTGGGGACCTTAGATTGTACGCCCCTTGAGGGTTAGGGACTGATGTGAATTTAGTATATCTTTGTAAAGCACTGCGTAAATTGATGGCGCTATATAAGTACCTGTAATAAATAAATACTCAGGCTTCCAGATCTGACAGTTTAATGAGGCACTGTGTATTGGGGTTAGATTCTGCTAGTCCTATTAACATACTGATAAGGGGTGCTAGTCCTATTAACATACTGATAAGGGGTATCTGTAATGCAGTTAAGAGGTTGTGGATTATATAAACTAAAGGTGGAGGGATGGGGAAGGTCACTCTGGCTATTTCTGACAAAATGGCCTGGGTGACCTGGGACCTGAACAAAATGGCTGCCACATACAGCTTTTCATGTGCCCAATGCTCACAACCATTACACACCCTATGAAAATAGTTGAATTTTTCAATGTCTTTGAACAGGCAAACAGATGTTAAATCAAACCGTGCCTACAGGCAAACCTTGTATACTTGAACAAATGATGCATAATACTGACATGATGCATGCATTCTTATTCTCTAAATTAATCATAATACAAATTTTCTAAATGGGGGTAAAAAGTAAGTACACTACTACTTTAATCTGTGAAGTTAGAATCAGGATTTTAGTTTAGCTAACAATGATTAGAATTTTCCTAGGAAATGTGTAGGTGTAATATCTACTTCGTAACCTCAAATATTTAGATTATGCTGCTCTTTTTGGTATTGACTTCTGTGGCATCATCATGCCGAGGTCAAAAGCCCTCTGACAGTCTGGCAATGGATTAAAAAGGTCACCAAATTAGTAATTCTACTGTAAGGAAAAACTACAAGCGGTATAGATTTCAAACCACTGTTTGTTTGTCCATGACTGGCTGGCCTTGCAAATTCAGTACCAGAGTTTACCATTTACTGTTAAAAGAAGTCTCAAAAAACCTCAGTGTCATTGCAGGATCCACAGGTAACTCTTGCAGCAGTTGATGTCAAAGTTTATGCATCTACAATCTGGAAGTAATTGCAACTATTAAATCTGCGTTGGAAATATGCCAAGAAAAATGATTTACTGCCCAAAAAGAACTTAAAAGCAAGAGTGATAATAATGATCTGGAATTACACTAATAAATCCACCAAGAATTAGCTCAGAAATAGGTATGGAGAGTTATAGTCCTTCCAGACATGAACGAGTATTTGAAATGGGGGCAGTTCGTGCAAAAATGTCCCTGAGTCAAACATCTTCACCAACTTAAGGAATAATTTGACATAAGGAATGGTCACTGAGCTGATGTTAAGAGACTGGCTGGGCAGTTGTTATAAAATGCCTACAAGTCATTATCTGCCTAAAGAGGCAGCCCATTCAGATGTCATCTTGATATTTCTGAAATCATGTCAACGAAACGGGTTTTGCGTTCTTACTTTTTCCAAAGTGCACCATTGCTAAATAATACGAATAGTTAAACTACTGATATATTTTGAAAGCTTGAATAATTTGAGGGCCCATTGACACAGAAAGAGCATGCTGCAGGAAAAGCGTGTTTTGCTATGTACGTTTCCCGCACTGCATGCGAATACACCAGCCCTTGCAAGATACAGGCGCAGCTCCCGATTGCTAATGGACACCTCGAACACATCTAGCAAATGAAACATGTTAGTGGCCACCAAGCTGTATGGTTCCACAGTACCAGGTCGGTTTACGGTTTAGTATGGTGTAATTAGCAAAATTAGTGCTTGCACTACTTTTTGCATGTTAAGTGTGTTTTGCAGCCCATTCAGATAAATGTGCTGTCAAAACCAGGATGCAAGGGACTGTATGAGAGCACTTGTGTTCCAGTGTAAACCGGCCTGAAAGGCACATTTTCCTTGTGTTTTTTTTCAACAAGTCTTCTTTATCTGCAAACACAGTATGCATGAAGGATCTATTGGTTTCCTTTTCAAATATGTTGAAAAAAGGATGTCGCACTGTACTTCTCAATAGGGTGTACCAAAAAGCACTTTGGCAAAGAAGCGCTGGAGAGTTTTTTCTAAATATCACTGTATATTGGTAAAAGATTTTTTGCTTTTCCGGGTTGTCAGAAGCTTATTGATTTTAGAATATTTTATGGAAAAACAAATATTAAGTTAAGGGTGCCATACTTTTGTCCAGCCCATTTTTGGGGTTTTGTGTGACATTATGCATTTTGCTTTTCTGCCTCTGTTTTAGAGGAAAAAATAGCAAAACATAATGTCTTTTTTGCTTGATTTTCAGGAAAAATAAACAAAATTTCGGCCATGACTGTAAATGTTGTCACCCAAGGGACTGTATGAGAGCACTAAGTGTAAACACCATTTTCCTTGTGTTTTTTTTCAACAAGTCTTCTTTATCTGCACACAGTATGCATGAAGATCTGGAAATATGCAGTACTTCTCACAGTTATTGGTAAGATTTTCTTTGCAAGATAATGCATTTCAGAGGAAAAAAAACTATCTGCATAAACAAATTACTGCACTCCAAATGCCTTACAGTTATTCTTTGCTGCCTATTCAATCTGCCTCCAAAGATTTAAATGAAAGGCCCATCAGACTTTTTTAGCGTTTGTTGGCTTTATTTTATGGCATACTTGTTTAAAATTGATTTTTTAAAAATGTTATCTTCATCCTGAAGTATTTTGTCAACCTATTCTCAGAAAACTTACTTAGACATCCATATTTGATTAATAGAACCTAGGCACTACTCCTTGTGTTATCCTTAACTGCTTGATGTACAGGGGACCTGGTTCGAGCTTTCCACGCCGCCTTTCGGAATTCTCCGGTCAACTCCAAAAACCAGTTAGTGAAAGTAAGAGACAATTGTCCTTGTGTTTTTTTTTTTTTTTGTTTTTTTTTTTAACTGGGTGATTAAAACTGGAAGGATTATTTGATCTTCTTAATTACTCGTCTTAAGGCAAGATTGTAAAATCATTCATTTTTTTAATGCCATGTGTTATTAGCAGACTTTTTCTATTTTTACTATACAGTCTTTTGATTTACTAATACAATTTGCCTGTTAAAAATTTCAGGTATCTGTATACACTATTTTCAGCTGACTTTTAATTGCTTGTATAGATACAGCGTTCAATGCAATTACAGTTTACTCCTAGTAGCAAGCAGATTTAAGTGCAATCATAATAGAACAAACAAGGTCTCAGTGGAGTTGGACTTTAAAAACATGAGAGAACACTGATTTGGCATTATTTGCTTCTGACTTCATGCTCTTACTCCACTCAGGAACGAACCCAGGCAGTTGTACTGAAAGTCCTGACATCATTTAAAAGTAATGAAATTGAGCAAGCAGTAAAAACACTGGATCGAAATGGGATTGACCTGCTTATGAAATACATCTACAAGGGGTTTGAAAAGCCTACAGAGAACAGCAGTGCTATATTGCTACAGTGGCATGAAAAGGTATGTAAGTATGAAGACAGGCTAGAAAACCTGAAAAGCTAGGTAACAATATGAAACAATACTTCTAGCATCACACTGGACATTTGCATAACTGAAAGTGTATCTATTGTCATCCCAAGAACACATATGTAATATGTTGCAGCTTACCAGTTCTTGGATATGGAGGCAAAATAGTTTTTCGCTTTTGCAGTAATTTTCCTTTCTTTTCACCTGGTGATCCTGCCACTAACACACTTCCTTTGACCATGCTTACTCACTGTACTGCATCTATGGATGGACAGAGTTGTCACCCTGAGACAGGAAGTGTGTTTGGGTTACAACTCCCCCCCCCCCCCTTCATCTTCATAACAAAGGTTGGATATGTTATGCAGTTTACAGGGAAGAACTGGACATGGCTAACACAGTAACACCCCTAAACGTTATACATTCACAAGAACAATATTCTAGAGTAGGACTTTAAAGGCCTCACATTAACAGCTATATCACAGATGAATGATTAAAAAATGATTCTACAGTACAGGTGCAGGCTTCTTTAAATCGTTATCTCTGGGTCGTATGCAGCTACTTTTAAGTGATTGGACACTGGCAAAAAAAAGCTGTAGGGACATCGCCATATAACTTCTGTTATTTTGCTAGTGTCTTTAGTGATGAACCTCTTCTCTCTACTCAGGGAAGTTTGCCTTCTTATATGGAGATTTTCTATTTGTTTATTCCAAGCTGATTCTTCTATTAATATGTTGCATAGTTAGTAAAGTTGAATAAAGACTCCAGTTCAACCTGTGTCGCACCATAGTCACAGTGGCTTTTGGTGCAGCTTGTGGATCAAGTGACTCTTTAGCAGAGCTTTGGGGACTATACCCAGACTCCACCTGATGGAAGACCCAGGTTTGGCCTGTAGTGTTGCTGTCATTCACTGGATCCTACTATTTTTGCGTTCTTTTACATGTAGTGGAACACATGGAGTCGCATAAGCCTTTGTCCTTGAAGACCCCTGAAGTTTATGCATGTAGTGGAGGGGCAAAGGTAGGCAGGAGTTAATTCCTGCTTCTGATTTGGTTAGTAAGGGTGGAAGCCTTCTAAACATTCACATCTCAGGGTGCTCATATTCTAATAATCCTTTATGAGTGTGGGGTAGTTGCCATCCAAGTACTTGCTTATGTGGCAGAGATCAAGTTAACCTTTCTTTTTAAATTTTGCCACCACTGGTTTCTTTAGGCTTGCTTTTGGGGTGCTTTTGTGCACATGCAGTCCGGTAGTGGCCAGACTTGTGGTTTCTACACCTGTACAGCCCGGCGCACTAACTCTACACCTCCTAGCTTCTGTGGACTTACTGCACCTGCACAGCCTTCCCATCTCTTCCACTTTGGAGATGGACTTTGAGCTGGCTAATCAACTGGTCTTGGCTTCATTGCAGGCACATAAGCAATCAGAATCACAATACCTAAATTGTTGCGGCCTATAGATGGCTGAAACTGAGGCATTCCTCTCCCTCCATGTTTGCTGCTGAGGTTTGTATACCCCCTGGGGACAATATTTACTAGCATGGCATGTCCTAAATAAAGGGGAAAAGGGTCTGCTTTCTTAGGGTCAGCTTTTAATTGAGTTGGGTAGTTGAGTAGTTCCTCTGGTACCCTAGTAGTTGTAGTCTGTCTTCTGACTCTTTGCCTTCCTCTTATCATTTGGCTCTTTTTGGAGCCACTCTAGTCTCTTTCTCATCTAGAGAATATTTTTCTGCCACAATACTAGATTACCTGGTCAAAATTTCAGGCCTTATTGACGTCATAGATGGCAGGGGTTCACAGCTGTTTTCCTCCTCACTCCTGAATATTTGATTTCGTCCTTGAGTCAGGAGTAGTCCCTGAGGAGCAGGATCCCTTGTGTTTCTGAGACATCAGGATGACACCCCTACTACTGAGATTTCACCCAAGCTTAAGGTACTATACAAGAGCTACCCTTATTAACACTGTACATTCTTTCTTGGCATTGGAGCAGCCTGTGTCTGCTCACCCCAGGGTGTCCAGTATGGGGTCACTTAAATGTCCTATTCCCTGACTTTCCCAGTCAGTTTGCTAATACAGCCTGCACTATATGGGGACTGGCCTCAACCAGAGAAGATTTTTTTATTTTCTCCTCCAAAAGCATTTGTCCAACAATATCCTAACGAGGAAAGTTTCCTTTGTAAGCCAACACTTTCTGTGGTAGATCCTGCCACCTTCTGCCTTAAAAATACCATCATGGCCCCTGTTTTATAGTTGGTAAAGTTAAGTAAAGATACCAGTTCAGTGTGTGTGTGTTTGCTTCCATTTTCCATATCCCTGTACATTGTGCTTGCTAAAAATCACATCTAAATGCTGATTCACGCATGTGCGGTGTAGGTTGAAGCTCAGGTTTCACAGCTAATTAACACAGTAGCTGTTCACTGGTTCAGGTTCAGGACAGGATTAGCTCAGGATTTTATCCTGTTCACAAATATGTGGTTTAGAAACTGTTCCCACTGCACCTGAACCGGACCGCACTGCTCAGAAATCGTACATAGCTCTTTGTTTTAAACCACACTGAATCCGCAGCAGGAGAGTATCAGACAAATGTGAACAGGCACCATAAGAAGCAATGTTATTTCACACATGTCATGCGGATTGGATGCATTTTAAACTGCATCCAATCCTCATATATCTGAACGGGCACTAAACGTTTTTGAATTCACATACACTCTGCTGACATCACCAACTTTGGAAGGGAGTTACACACATCCTTACTGCTTTAATAGTAAAGAACTCCTTACGCAGTTTAATATTAAACCACCTTTTACCTAACTTTGTGTTGCTGCTCATCTTCTTTAGAGACATTGTGTTATAGAATCGTTTCCTCCCAATGCTAGAGTCCCCAAGATTTGTATGTTATCATATCCCCTATTAAGCATCTCTTCTCCAGGTTGAATACGTTTGTAGTCCTTCATTAAAATTGATGTGCTCCATCCCTCTAAGCTTGGTTGCCCTGCTCTAGACTTTATCCAGTTTAGGCCCATAACTCCTGAGGATTGGTGACCTGAACTGGTCTGAACTGGTCCAAGGCGGAGTTTTGTAAAGTAGTAGAATTAGTTTTATTTCTTGAGTAAATACCCTTTTAAAATGAATGCTAATAGTCTGCTGGCCTTACTTGCTGGAGTTTGTCATTGCATGCTATTGCTGATTCTGTGATCTAGCAAGAGCCCCAGACCCTTTTCCATCCTTAATTTCCCCAGAGGCTCTTCCCCTAGCAAGTAACTTGCAGTCATATTTTTAGCTCCCAGTTGCATTACTTTACATTTTTTTTAATATTAACCTATTCAATACCGGACTGTTTCACCCCCTTTCTGCCCAGGCACTGTCACACTTTGAATGATACTTAGTCATGCATCTAATTCATTAAAATTTTTTGTTATAAAACTTTGCAAATAAACTTTTTTCATAAACTTATTCCAAAATGTATTCTACTACATTTATTGGTAAAAATAATTAACTACAGTGTGTGTCATTTAGTCTGTGAAAATACACTTGTAAACACCATCTAGATCCCGGTGTGTCTTCACCACTGAGAAGCAATGGGAATCCTTCCTGCCTCAGGAAAGGTATTTTGGTATCTGTTGTGGATGGTACCATGGGTCTTAGTCTTGCTCATTCTGTTTCCGTTAAGGCAGTCCTCTAGAGTAGTGTTTCTTCCGCTGTTTTTCATTCAAGGCACCGTTTAAAATTTTGCACAATCTCAAGGTACCCTATTCTAAAATGTAAAAAACTAAACTAATAGTTTTCCATAATGCAGCATCATCCACACTCATAGGGCACCCCATACTAGAGATGATTTAGTGTTCTAAAGCAAACATACCTTTGCACATTGGTACTGACTAGTATTCTGCAGTAATAGTGATTCTTTCTCCCTCAGTTTCTATCCCTCATTCAGCTAATGTGACCCCATTGTGGACAGAAAAGGGCAGGGGGGGACAAGGATGCTGTGCAGGCGCCCGATGTCCTCCTTATCAACTGATGTTGTTGGGATGCCAGCAGCTAGAAGGTTTTAATGGTGCACAATGAAAGCCTGTGGCTTTGTGAAACTAAAAGGCAGGCCTAATGCACCTGTTGACTTGTTTTCGGGCATTTTTTAGGCATTTTGTCAAGGCAAACCCAGTACCAAAAATGTAATATATTGCAACCTGCCAATCCTTCGATGTGGTGGCTGGATTGTTTTTCTTTTTTTAGGTTTTTCGCCCTCTTTTCACCTGGTGATCTGGCCAGTAACACACCACCTATATTAGAGTGTGCCCCCACTCTGCAGGCAGGACCTTTTGGATAGCAGCATTAACCGTCTGGTGGGAGGGTAGTGTTAGATGTAATAGCAGATTTAGATACACTAACAATTTGAAGCCAAACTCAAGCTTACACTTTATAAATAGTTACAGCAACAGCTTTCTCTTTTGGGATAAATGTTTTACATAAATTAAATTGTAACTGGTTTTCCTCAACACTCAACTGCTACATGTGCAGGACAGCCTGTTCTTTTGAAAAACAACAGACTTAATGGCTTGATCACCAGGTGAAAATATAAGAAAAGCCTAAAAAAGAAAATTAATGCAACCATCACATCTAATAATTGTTAAGATGCAATATAATAAATGTTTACTTTTGGGTTTAATGCTGCTTTAAAAGCAGCCATTATCCTGTGATGGACATCACTGGTGTGGGCTCAGGAATACATCCAAATTCACTGTCTGTGAACATAGTTTGCCGTGCCATCCAAGAATGCAAGGTAAATCTTTGTCATGCAAAGAAGAAGCCATATCTGAACATGATCCAGAAACACTGACATCTTTGAGCCAAAACTCATTTAACCACTAGCCTACAGGGCACTTATACCTCCTTCCTGCCCAGGCTAATTTCCAGCTTTCAGCGCTGTCACCCTTTGAAAGACAATTGCGTGGTCATGCAACACTGTACCCATATGAAATTTGTATCATTTTTTTGTGACAGAGCTTTCTTTTGGTGGTATTTAACCACCTCTGAATTTTTTATTTTTTTCTTAAACAAACCAAAAACCACTGAAAATTTTGAAAAGTTTTTTTCTTAGTTTTTGTTATAAAATTTTGTAAATAAGTGATTTTTCTCCACTGATGTGCGCTAATGAGGCTGCAGTGATGGGCACTGATAGGCTGCACTGATGGGCACTGATAGGTGGCACTGATGGGCATTGACAGGCATTACTGATGGGCATTGAAGGCAGCACTGATATATGGCACTGACTGGCGGCACTGACTGGCACTGATAGGTGGCACTGATTGGCATTGATAGGTGGCACTGATTGGCATTGATAGGTGGCACTGATGGGTGACACTGAAAGGCAGCTCATCTGAGCTGCCTTTCAGTGTCACCCATCAGTGCCACCTATCAATGCCTATCAATGCCAATCAGTGCCACCTATCAGTGCCAGGGCACTGATATGTGGCATTGATGTGCACTGGTAGGCACTGATATGTGGCACTGATGGGCACTGGCAGGTGGCATGGATGAGCACTGAGAGCTGGCACTGCTGGACACTGACAGGTGGCACTGCTGGGGCTACACTGATCATTAGGGTACACTGATCATCAGTGTCCTGATGATCAGTGCACATGTCCCCTCCAAGAAATGCCGATTTACCAGCTCTCCTCTCGAGCTGTCAGCGTGACAGCTCGTGAGGAGAGAAATGCCGATAACCGGCATTTCCCTGTTTACATGCAATCAGCTGTGATTGGACACAGCTGATCACATGACTGAGCTGACATCTTCGGCTTTTTCCGTGGATTGGTGAACCACTGTGTCCGAGGGACACAGCGCACCGCCGATTGCCGCGCTCCTGGAACTGCGCATGCGCGGTGAGAATGGGAGTATGTCATATAACGTCCTCCCAGGACGAGAGAACCGCCTTGCATCCATTGGACTATATGGCGGGCGGGAGGCGGTTAAAATGGTCTTTTGCAAAGTGAAAACTGCTCTGTGGTCAGACAGATAAAAAATGTAGCATTCCTTTTGGCAACCATGGGCGCAACAGGGGAGAGGGACCTTCTGACTTATCAGAGCTCAGTTTACGAGCCTGCATGTCTGATGGTATGGGGTTGCATCCATGCACATGGAATGGGCACACCCGGAAAGGCACCATCAATCCTGCAAGATATATCCAGGTTTTAGAGCAGCATATGCTCAGGCAAGAACGAGACAACAATCCTCTCCCAAAACTCCAGCAAGTGGTCTCTGGTTTCCAGATGCCATACCATCAGCGAGGTGTGACTGTCCCAAATTTATTCTGCGCCAAGACAGCGACCCCAAACATAAAGCTAATGTCATTAAGAACTACAATTAAGTCCATATATATTTGGAGGCAGGCACAATTTTAGGTTTTTCAGGTATTTACCAAAACATATTTAAGCTATAGTATAATATGGATATGGGCTGGAAGTCCTCTCAGGTTTAATTTGAGGGTATTTACATCCAAATTGGAGGAAGGGTTTAGTAATGACAGCTCTTAAGAGTAGCCATCCCCTGCAATGGCCGAGTCAATCACCTGATCTCAACCCAATTGAGCATGCATTTCACTTGCTGAGGGCAAAACTAAAGGCAAAAATACCCACAAACAAAGAACTGAAGACAGCTGCAGTTAGAGCCTGGCAAAGCGTGAGAAAAGAGCAAAACCCAGTCTTTGGTAATGTCCATCGGTTCCAGACTTCCAGGTAGTCATTGCCAGTAAAGGATTCTCAACAAAATATTAAAAATGAACATTTTATTTATGATTATATTCAATTGTCCAATTACTTTTGGGCCCTTGAAAAAAAAGGGGGGGTGGCTACTCTTAAAATCTGTAATTCCTAAACCCTTCCTCCAATTTGGATGTACATACCCTCAAATTAAACCTGAGAGTGTGCACTTTCAGCCCATATCCATTATAGAACTATAGCTTGAATATGTTTTTGTAAATATGTTTTTGTAAATATCTGAAAAAAAAACTAAAATGGTGCCTGTGTCCAAATATATATATGGACCTTAACTGCATCTTCAACGTAAAGAAGAATGAGTCCTGGGAGTGATGGTTTGACCCCCACAGAGCCCTGATCTCAACATTGAGTCTGTCTGGGATTACTAACCACAGATCTTCTATGGATGTACACTGTCTCGAGCACGGGAGCGTGGTTTTTTTTCGGAGGATCAGGGTAAGTATAGCTCTTCCCTAAACCCCTGGTCAAAACGAGCAGTTTTCCCATGCAGTACGGGCACAGCCCCACTGCATGGGAAAATAAAAAATGTATATGGAGTTCTGCTTTAAGATAGTTCTTAATGACATTGATCATATGTTTGGGATCTTTGTCCTGCTGCAGAGTAAATTTGGGGCCAATCACAAACCTCCCTAAAGGTATGGCATGATGGGTTAGTATCTGCCTGTATTTCTCAGCATTGTCGTCACAATTGTTTCTGACCATTGATTCTGACCAAATCTCCAACTCCATTTGCAGAAATGCAGCCCAAAAACTTGAGAGGAACATCCACCATGCTTCACTGTTGACTGCAGACACTTATTATTGTACTGCTCTCCAGTCCTTTAGTGCAGCGTTTTTCAACCACTGTGCCGCGGCACACTAGTGTGCCGTGAGATATTGTCTGGTGTGCCGTGGGAAAAATTGCCTCGGCTCACAAATAGACAATCATTAGAACAGCAATGGGCAAACTACGGCCCGCGGGCCGTATACGGCCCGGCGGACCTTTTAATCCGGCCCGCGGAGCGTGATACTGTCAGGATGATCTGTCCCCCTCGACGTATCTGCGCATGTGCCGGAGATCGCCGATCGGCTGCTAATGCCTGAAACTGGCACATGCGCAGATACGTCGAGGGGGACAGATCCTCATAGGAGACAGATTTTCATGCTACACCGGAACGGCGAGAGGAACGCGCGGAGCAAAGGTAAGTGAATTGACACAGGGGGGGCTGGGGACTTAATATGGGGGATGAATTACTATGGGGGATGTATTACTATGGGGGATGTATTACTATGGGGGATGAATTACTATGGGGGATGAATTACTATAGGGGGGATGAATTACTATATGGGGGATGAATTACTATATGGGGGATGAATTTACTATATGGGGGATGAATTACTATATGGGGGATGAATTACTATAGGGGGGATGAATTACTATAGGGGGATGAATTACTATAGGGGGATGATGAATTACTATATGGGGGATGAATTACTATGGGGGATGAATTACTATATGGGGGATGAATTACTATATGGGGGATGAATTACTATGGGGATGAATTACTATATGGGGAATTAATTAATTATGCTTACTATGGGGGAATATTACTATACTTACTATGGATGACACGTACACATCATTCATCTACTCTTGGTCCGGCCCCCGGGTCCAATATATGAACCCATTGCGGCCCTCAAGTCAAAAAGTTTGCCTATATATAAAGTAATTCTCTTGAATAGGAATCAAACACAAAGAAATTATGTTATAATTACTTTATTATGTGTTGATGCCAGAGTTGCACCTTTGAACGGAATCCATTTATTTTATCTGTACTTGTAAGCAGATTTTCATTTCGGCCTTGCATTCGTGTGTTCAGCTCATTCAGATGATGAAAAATATCTGCCAGGTATGCCAGCCTTGCACACCACTCATCACTTGCAAGCAGCTTTGCGTAATCTGACCTCTCATTTGTCAGAAACACTTTAAGTTCCTCCCGCAGCTCATACACACGAACCAAGACCTTGCCACGCGACAACCACCGGACCTCCGTATGAAACAGCAAGGTTTTATGCTTCGCTCCCATCTCTTCACACAAAGCTGCAAACATGCGACTTTTCACGGGTCGTGACTTTACAAAGTTTACCATGCGCACAACATCATCCAACACAGGAACTAGGTCTGCTGGTAAAGTCTTGGCTACGAGGGCCTCACGGTGTAAAAAACAATGCGTAACAATCACATCTGGATTTCTTTCCTTCACTCTGCTTACAAAGCCTTTGGTGCGCCCGACCATGGCTGCAGCTCCATCGGTGCAGACACTTGTGCAGTTTTCCCACTTAAGTCCTCCTTGTTCAAGGTATTCTGATGTGACCCGAAAAATTTCTTCTCCTGTTGTTTTTTCTGGCAATGCCTTGCAAAAAAAGAAGTTTTTTCTAATTGCATCACCATCCACAAAACGCACATTGGCCAAGAGTTGAGCATGTCCACTGATATCAGTAGACTCGTCAAGTTGCAATGCAAATTTCTCACTGATACGGATCTTTTCCAAAACCACACTTTCTATGTCTGCAGACATGTCATTAATACGTCTGGAAATTGTGTTGTCTGAGAGAGGGACTTTGTCTATTTCCTTAGCTGCTTCAGGTCCGAGCATCTCCTCTACAATAGCTTTGCAGGCGGGAAGTATTAATCTCTCTGCCACAGTGTGCGACTTTTTTGACTTGGCTATAAGTTCAGCAACTTGATAGCTAGCTTTAAGAGCTCTTTCATTTACCTTTGTGGTTTTTCTCATGAAAGTTGCCTGTTTCTCCGTGTTTTCACGCAGGTGAACAAAAAAGTCTGCATTCTTGTTTTGAAGCGAAGGGTGTTTCGTTTGGAGATGGCGTTTAAGTTTACTTGGGACCATAGCACTGTTAGATAGCTTTTCACCACACACCACACACAGTGGAGTTGGTTTCTTTGCATCTCCGGTGAAAGTAAATCCAAATGAAATATAGCTTTCGCTATATTGCCTTGTGCCAGAGAATTTCCTTGAGCTAACCATCTTTGCTTTCTTTTGATCCCCACTCATACGTGGGCTCTTATCTGGCTCTGAATTTTGTTCAGAGTCCAGTTCTTTCCTTTTCAAAAATTTGTCCATCACTGCAGTATCTGCTCCTGTCTCACTGTCACTCAGTACTTACTGCGCTTGTCTCCTCCAGATAGCCGCTGTCCGTCACACTCAGCACTCCATCCAGATCCATCAGTCAGCGCTCTTCTGCTCCTGTCTCCTCCAGATCCATCACTCAGCGCTCTTCTGTGCTGCGTCCGCGATAATCCTCCAGAGTCCAGATCCTTCGGTGCTCTTCTGCGCATCGGCGATCTATTGCGATGTCTTCTCCTGTCAGTGTAACAGTGACACCGGAGCTATTTATAGTCCGTAACATGCGCTCACAAATAGACCAATCATTAGATTCTAATGCAGGGGTGGGCAAACTTTTTGACTTGAGGGCCGCAATGGGTTCATATATTGGACCCGGGGGCGGGACCAAGAGTAGATGAATGATGTGTACGTGTCATCCATAGTAAGTATAGTAATATTCCCCCATAGTAAGCATAGTAATTAATCCCCCATATAGTAATTCATCCCCATATAGTAATTCATCCCCCATATAGTAATTCATCCCCCATAGTAATTCATCCCCCATATAGTAATTCATCCCCCATAGTAATTCATCCCCCATATAGTAATTCATCCCCCATAGTAATTCATCCCCCATATAGTAATTCATCCCCCATAGTAATTCATCCCCCATATAGTAATTCATCCCCCATATAGTAATTCATCCCCCATATAGTAATTCATCCCCATATAGTAATTCATCCCCCATATAGTAATTCATCCCCCATATAGTAATTCATCCCCCATATAGTAATTCATCCCCCATATAGTAATTCATCCCCCATATAGTAATTCATCCCCCCTATAGTAATTCATCCCCCATATAGTAATTCATCCCCCATATAGTAATTCACCC